CACACAGCCTGATCTCCCTCCCAACACGCCCTCAACATGATCACACCTCCCGAATTATGGTCTTACCAGAAACGGCTTAAACTGCTTCAAGCGATTCATCCTAAAGAGACAAAGATATTACACCTTCAGACAGCTCACTCTATAAATGTTAGTCTGCACTCTGTAATTTACATTACATGACTCTAAGGCTAGGAGGAGGTACCTGACAGCTGGAGAGTCCTTAGGCACAGGCAGTGACTCAGGCTGATCTGGAGACACGTGGAAAAGAGGTCGCAGGGAAAGAGAGACATTGTGCTTTAATTTCTATGCAAAATTTACATGAGCTACTTGTTCCCTCAAACAGGCTCCCACACCTCTGATAATGAATAACAGCTCACAGGTAGGTGTGACAAAGACCATCAACGGAGATCGCTTGTTGTCTTTAGCTTCAGGTCTGTGCCCAGATACAAATGCCCCCACCCTCCCCCGGAACTCTCCGTGAAGCGCAGCCCGATGTTTCAAGTGACCGGTCTGTAATGATGATGGTTGCCGAAGCGATGGCGTGCAAACCTGCGTGGGCTTCGCTTTTCGGGGACGTCAAAAGCACGGCTACGTCCACACTCTCGTTACTGATGTTGGAGAGGTCCAGGCGCCGACACGGGGTGTCGCTGAGCGGGAAAAGAGCCAATTCAAATCAGACCCGACTTTAAAATACACAAGTGTACAGCAAACAGCTGTGGATGCAGGAAATGAGTTACGTCAGGATTGCTGAAGTGCGGATTGGCATTTCATGATCTAGGGCAGTGATTCTCAAACCAGTCCTTGGGGACCTCCAGATGGCCCACATGTTTGCTCTCTTCCAGTTCCCTAAGTCTGGGGATGCCTGAGGACAGGTTTGAGAAACACTGATCTAGGGAGATGGGAAAAGGACATCTTGCCATGAAGGGCCTCGTGTTTCATCCCATTGAGCCTTTTATCATTAGCTTTGTAACCTGGTCCACATAGAGTCTGTACCGAAACTGGAAAACCGCAGCCTGCTATCTAAGGCATTAGCTCATGTGTCCCCCACACTGCGCCTATGTAACGTAAATGCAACATCACCAGCTGTTTACCCAGTTTGAAAGGCTCTGAGCCCCGTGAAGCACTGTGTCAGCTCGGTGACCGGGGAGGGAAATCCGTCCGGGGAAGGGGCTCCTGCAAGGGAGAGGCCAAAGCATACCGCGGGGGGGTCTGCCATGGCTGTCAGGAGAACCGCCCTAAGTTTATATGGTACATGGATACAAGTAACGGGTATGATCAAATGATTACTAAGGTGCACATATACAAATATTTCATTCTAAAGTATCGTACCTGTGATCAACACAAACGCCCTCTCTATCTACAAGCTGTAAAAAATTATAATTTGCATGCACTTCTACAGCGAACACAGTATTTTTTAATGAAACATTATGCTGTTCCAGATACATTACATTATATTAACAATGCGGTTCTATGTTGCTACAGACGTCAGGGCTGAGACTAAATTTTCTGCATCGCAAATTAAAAATCATTTTACAATTCAACAAAAAGTCAGCGAGCTGCAAATGCTGTTTAATTTCAAAGACAGACAGTGTTATTTTTGGAATGCTTAGCTCAAAGTAAAGAATCGCACTTACAATTCTTTGTAACTCGGACTCCTTCTTGTAATGTTGCCATTTAAAAGATTTTAAATTTCTCGCCAAAAAACAGCCAACAGAAACGGCGGAAATTGCATGCGTCACTTCCGCAGACGCAGAACCGAGCACCTCAATTGGATAAACTAAACGTCAATCATCGCCATGCCCAAAAAGGGAATTAATTATCTGTTGCGGAAGCTCCAGAGAATGGTCCGGCCTCAGAACACTGGGATGTGTGACGCTCCAAGTAAAAGTTATTAATCAAGAACCGATTAATGTGCCTAATCTTATCTCAGACAAGCACCAAGCACAAGTAATCCAAGAGCATCGTGTTCAGGGTAACTTTGCCGTTGTGTTTGGTATAGTCAGAAAGCAGAAAGGAAAGAACACGATTTTTGCAAGTGAGCAAAAAAATGTTGCAAGTGAGCTGTGCTCTGAAGGCACAAATAAGATGGCTGGAGGTTGGATAAGGCTAAAGCATTAACAGTGTGAGTTTATACGGGGACAATGAACAACAATTTGTCGATCTGTTTCCAGAAGGGGTTCTGTGGCACAAGAATTTTACTGAATTCTCCGAATATATGAAAGGAAACACTTTTTTTAAAAAACATTACACCTCAGATAGGACTTGAACCCACAATCCCTGGCTTAGGAGGCCATTGGGGTTCCTGCAGAGCAAGCAGTACTACAAGAGACCTTTTCTCTTTGTAATTAAGGACATGCAGAATATCAGTATCTAAAAGGAATTGGTATTATATTTTTGCCTTTATGGTCAGTTTTGAAAACTATGATATTTATACAGGGTCCCTGGATAAATGTGGGTGAGATGAAAATGCACAGTAAGTCACCGAATTTGGTGCCAAAGGGGTTAAACCCGTCTGCCTGTCTTCCATCCCTATACCAGCTGCGATTCTGCCTTTCATGTCATCATAAGGACAACCCTAAGTTTACCGTTTGCTTGATATGCTTAGTGTACAGTTCATTGGTTGAACATAAATGCAATATTCACCTAATGTTTATAAGGATTATATTAGTTGTTGGTATATACCTATATTGCCTCACACCTCTGGGACCCGGGTTTGAGTCTCCGCCTGGGTTACATGTGTGTGGAGTTTGCATGTTCTCCCCATGTTGTCATGGGGTTTCCTCTGGGTACTCCGGTTTCCCCCCACAGTCCAAAGACATGCTGAGGCTAATTGGAGTTACTAAATTGTGAATGGTGTGTGAGTGTGCCCTGCAATGGGCTGGCCCTCTGTCCTGGGTTGTTCCCCGTCTTGTCCCCATAGCTTCCAGGATAGGCTCCGGACCCCCCCCCCCACAACCCAGAAGGATAAGTGGGTTGGAAAAATGGATGGATGGTATATACTGTAAAATCATACATTTTAAACCAAATCCCCCCTCGTCACGAGCAAAATATACCAAGGGTCCACGCATTTACTAAGATCCCCGTAGATCGGCCCCTGAGTTTCACAGAGATAGATGGATAGATTTCCGCTGTATTCAGTGGTATTACCGTGGTAAGTCCCACTTGCTTCTTGAACTAGTAATCATGTCTTTAATCAGTTCTGCATTTTCTTCATGAGCCACGCGAAGAGCGTGATTGACTGAGAGAACGAAGGGCCTTTTGCATCTTTGCATACCTGTGTATTATGCAAGCATCAGCGCCTTTTGTTTTGTTCAGGGCATTAATGTGCCGTGCCGGTCACACGCAGTCTTACTGAGGTGGTTATAATTACCCACAGCCATTTGACGCGCCAGACACCGGAGTGTGGGTGACGTCGGAATCCGGCGGCTCACCCAGTGTCGTGCTGCTCCTCAGCCCGCCCGCACGGCACGCATATGAACTGCGGTCTCCACGGCGGGGGAAGGCGTGGGGGTGTCTGTTCTTATGAAATGTCACTAAGGCCCCCCCTCCTCAAATCCCGTACAGGTTCATGATGCCAAATTAAAAACCAGGCAGCCTCGCTGATCCGTCTTAATAGGACTCACTGGCTTACATTAAATTAAGCATTTAAACAAATCAGCAGTGACACATATATAATTATTCCACAAGACTTTTTCAGTTCAGGATTTAAGTTTTTGAAATCCATTGAAACCACAAAGGGTTAAAACATTCATGCTGGTAGTTTTACTATATTTCTTACAGTATTACCATCATGAGGCTCTTAAACCATTTCTAGTGTCATTTATGGTTCTTTAAACTCAAGATATAATATTTACACCAAGACTTTTAAAGACAGACGCACACCCCTTCCATAGACGTTCTTCGGCTGACCTGCTTACCTGCTCTTCATGGCCTCATGGCCCAAAACGTAAGGAGATCCCAGTTCCAGATGGATTCAAGCAGCGTAGCTGCCACACTGCACTGAACTACAGCCAAACAAACGGTAATGATTACCCTCTGGAGTTCCACGGGAAACCCACGGCTGAGGCGTCAATTCCATCACGGGGCACATACACACACGTGAACGGGGTAATTTAAACTAGTCATTCTACTCTGGTTATCGAGCGATGCTTCACAAAATTACAGCAAGGCATGGTTTAAAAAGCCACGCTGATTTAGTATTTGCTTTGATGAAAAGCAACTGTCCACCATCACGACTCACTGGAAATAGCTCAGGACAGGGACAGTTTCATCACTGTACACAAAAACCACACTGTTACCCTCCCTGTAGCTTTGGGATACATTTTTATTGTCACCAGCACATAAAGCCATAGTGTTTATTGTAAAATGTTCACTTGCTGTAATAATTACTCTTTACTAGCTATAGATTGTTTGTATCAATCCAGTAGTCTAGCGCAAACTCAAAAAGAATAATACGTAAGCTTCTTAAGAAGAGACATTTTAATTCTGGGGGATTACTTCACTGATATTTACCCAACAACAATTAAAAATATTTATCCTCAATTGACAGTGACAGCAAACAGATTTAGTAAATTTGTTCCTCCAAGCTGATATGCAGGTTCTGACCCCTGAGACACGCCACACAGGGCTAAACGCTGCCCCGCTCCCTTGGGCTGGCATCTCCTCACTCCACCAGCTTTCTTAGCCCTGGTCTCCAAGAGGTGCTGGCCCTCCTGATTTACCTCCAGATGAACTTCTGATTGATGAGCCTTTTCCCCCCTCAGACTGAAATACTGCCCAAAAAAAAAAAAAAACGCAAAAAAAAGTCGGAAATGGTTTTGAAGGACTATCGGTGTGCACTGCCACTGATAATTAGCGGAACTTGCTGCACTTTTCATGCTGCATTTACTCGATCTTCTGGAAAACCATTCCAGAAACCTTTGTTTTTGATGGAAAGACCTAATGAAAACCAGTGTTGTGAAGAAGATCTATCAGCCCCTATACACACACGTCTGCAAAACATCATTACTCCACAACTTAGAGGTTTTTATTCCCAGCCATTTGGGGAAGATGTTTGTGAAACAAATTTTAGAAAATGCAGGAAGATCAGCCACTGTGGCTGTACCAAACTTCCCAGCAGTTTGAGCTTCTGAAATCTGTTGATCTCTCTTTATAGACTTTGCTCCTCTGATTTTCTGCAGATCCTGCTGAATTTCTCCGGTTACTCTAACAATCCAGTCCCGTACAGACGGCCTGTGTTCATCTGCAGCGAGGCCTCAGTGCTGTCACTGTTGCTGTCACTGTCTCAGTCACTGTCGCTGTCTCAGTCGCTATCGCTATCGCTGTCACTCTCTTCTTCGCTCTCGTCCTCCTTTTCTTCTTTTTTCACTTCCGTCTCCTCCGCGAGCCCAGAGAAAAAATCGTCCCCCACGCCAAAGGCCTTCTTGCTCAGGGACTTGAGGTTGCCGCTTTTCTTCTTCTTCTGCCGGTAATCGCTCACCATCATGGCGGGAAGGCCAGAGATATCCCAGAATTTGACCTGCTGGTCATGGGCGCAGCTGGCCAAGAAGCGTGCGTCACGTGAACGGGCAATCTGCTCAATGGGCTCCCCGATGTGCTGGCCCACACTTCCCAGAACGCGGTTCGGCAGAAGATTGATCGCCCTGAAAGTACAAACAAGGAAGTTTGCACAAATAAAATGCCATATATTAAAGAGAAAATACTTAAATATTTCCAAATATCATTCCTTTCCCCACCATCACACAAAAAAATTTTGGCTGTGTCCATAATCTCTCTAGTGGAAAATATAGGAATAGCTGTATACCCTCCTGATATCCAGCAATGCATTTTTGTTCTCTGCAAAGGATATGTTTTTACTCATATCTCCTATACTATACTATATATGTCCTGTTGTTACTTAAAGAGGACAGTTAGAGCTTCAAGAAGACTTCACATGTGTGGGGTGTGACCCTGTCAACTTCCTTTCACATCAAAATTGTAGTCAATCCCCCCCTGGATTTCAGGAAAATATCAAAATAAGTCACTTTTCTGGCAGATGGAGAAACACAAGAACCAACGGTGTCTTGAGAAAATACCAAACTTGATCCTAAACTTAGTTCTATATTTCTAAAAATCATAGTGTGAGAAAACACTAATATTGCTAGAAGTGAAAGAAAACGTGATTTCTCAGGTAGCTTTTTATTCCAAAGATAATCTCAGTCAGGTACTAGCCCTGTTCCCCGATGAGCACGCATGCGGAGCGGCGACACCTCTGACCTGACTACGCCATCCATGGATGCGATACACAAAATGCTGTCGGTGACGGGGACGATGCAATCCACCGACTCTGCCTTGATCGCAAAGCGGTCACTAGTGGCACCAAAGCCATTCCAGTTGAAGAGGTAGATCATGCCTTCGCTAGAACCACAAACAACCTTTCGCCCACGCTGCAGAACAGGAGGGGAAGACAAAAACAGAGCCACTGGATTTAGTTTAATTCAATACAATTGATGATTAATTGATTACACAAGACTTCTTAAAATACAAGCCCAGAATCTTGGACTAGATACGTTTTTTTTTTTTTAATGACAAGAGTCAGTATTTTGACCTAAAAGACTTCAAAAGAACTTGCATTTTTCTAGTCAGCTCCCAGAAAAGATGAATAACTCAAAAATAAAATGTTTGTTTATAGAATTTTCTGCTGGAGTGTTCAAACCAAAACAAAAACAAACATGGTGACTGATAAAACAAAGTTTAGAGTATGCCTTTAAAGTTAGAGATTTAGGGAGCAGAGACCACCAGGACAGACCTTCATGATGGCCACAGAAGTGAGGTCCCCATCCTGGAACTCAGAGAGCAGCTCAAAGCGCCTCCTCTTGATGTTGAACACACCCATAGTCCCATCACCGCTGTAAACAAACAAACAAAACAAACAAACGTGTGAATAAACTCTTGTAACACCCAGTGACACCTTCATTCATATTCCTCCACTCTTCCAGTTCTTGCCTTGAGGTTAACAGGATCTTCTTGGCCTGGTCAATGGTGATGCCACTTATGTAATCCTCATGGTGTTTCATGTCCATGAATGCCGTCCCCTTTCGCATGTCCCACACCTTCAAGGCGCCACAATCATCCCCAGTTGCCAACAGGTTCTCATCGATTACCAGCAAGGAGTTGATGGGAACACTAGACGTTGTAAGAGAGGGAAATTAATGACTAAATAACGCCATCAGCCAACATAAATCAAAATTCAATCAGTTAACAGTAACATGACAGGACAGAACTCTTAAGGATTTTTAGTTGTAAAAGCATACGTTTAAAACTGACTAAAGTTACTAATGTCTCACCTGTGAGCCTTTGGGATGCGGGTGACAAGCTTTCCCTCCTCAACATCCATAATATGAACGGATTTGTCCTTAGACACGCTAAACAGTTCTGCAAATGTGAGAAAAGGTGAGACTGATGCAGATTGCTAGATAAGTAAATGGATAAGTGAAATAGAAAAGCAATAAACTGTCTGTGTAGGTGTCCATCAACTCACTCAGCCCATCTTGGGAAAAGGCTACCTCCCTGCACGACTTAAGATGGTGTCCTGATGACCAGAGCTCCTTATTTCCCCCTTCTGTGCAGGAGTAGGAGTATCTGCAGCAACACACGGGCTCTTGCCATCACAAAAGCGCACAAACACACAATCGAAACAGTTCCACGGTTTAACTAGCGTGACCGTATCTTGCTTTGCAGAAAAGACAACACGTAGGGCAAGATGCAAAGGACGGCGTCAGAGCAGCTCACATATGCACACAGAAAGTATTTTGGGTGTAGAAAGCAAATGTCAACATAGAGCAAAGCAAATCCTAGAAATTTCATGTATTTTTAGGTACAAAAAAATGGGACAGGTCTGGGGACCAGGATTGCAAACCTTAAATTTGCTATTTTTACTTAGAAGACAGATTTTTTTTTATACTGACAAGCCATATTTCTTACCCTATATTTATCTCTCGAAGTCTTCGAAATGATTTTACGTATTTACGGTATTTAGTTCCAAACTTTTTTTACGGACTGTCCGTAAATCTACAAACGGTTGGTAACACTGAAGAGGACGTATGGTCGCCATACGTTTAACTATATCCTTGGTTACTTTATGGCGCTATGTGTTTTTGATTAAGGTGTCAGAAATACACTTAGGATATGAGTCTCACACATAGATATCACCATCGATGTCACCGGCGGCAAGGATGTCCCGCGTCGGGTGAAAAGCCAGGGTGTTCACGATGGCATCGAATTTGATATCTTCGGGAGTCTCCCTAATCCTGGGCTCTGGAGATTCCTCTGCCCCATCTTCCTAATAATAACACTTGGCTAATCACACACTGCAGTGACATCTTACATTCCGCAAGCAACGCGAAGAAAATCGTAAACCACGATGCGATCAATTTAGCCCCTCGTTGGACACTCACCTCGTCGCTTTCGTTTTCAGCATCAGATTTATCCGACAGCACAGAAGCATCAAGATCTTCCTGAAACATACACATGGTTAAATAAAACGAGTCTACAGGTAACCAAAAGGTACGAGGAGATTGCCAACAACCTCCGAAATTACATGCACTCGTGTTACTACCGTGGAGGCTGCCATCTTGAGTCAATCTAGGTCATGAAAGCTTAAAGATAAATACACTAGTAAGAATAACATTTAAATACTTATGTAACGTTGCGTCTTTATGCATTACATTATATACAGGCAAACATAATCCTTCACTGATACTAGGGATGACACCAGTGTAAGTATTTTTTTCTGGAACTCTATATGTATTTTGGCTTTCAGGATGGATCTTCGTTGCAAGACATGCGCAGTGTAAATTTCTTGCAAGTTTATAGAACTTATTTGAACAACGTTTTGCTTGGTCTTGTAAATAGAACAATTTAATTAAAATGGAATTTGCACATTTTATCAAAATGCACAACCCCGTGTGAGGCTCGGACTCACCACCGACGCGCTAACGGCTAACCCCTTGGCTCGAGACTTGGTAGGAGAGGCAAATATGATTGGTTGTCGCTACCACGATTTGAGATCTTGAATTTTGGTAGCAGAAATCGACGAGACTGGCTGTTGCTACCAAGAGTTACCTCGATTTATGGCTTGCGGCAGGCGCTAATGAGGCAGATACACACTGCTTTTCGTAAGATATACATCACCGTAAATAACTACTATGGTCTTCATAAGAGCGTGCTTACACTTACCATGCTACTTCAGATTATCAGATTGACGTGTCTAGCGGCGGAAGCGCAGGTTCTGTACCGCTCCAATACTGTGGAGCCCACTAAGCAAGAATATTTAGTTTGAATATTAAAGTGTGTTTGATTACGATCCAAGCAAAAACAGCACTGCCCCGTGTGAGGATCGAACTCACGACCTTCAGATTATGAGACTGACGCGCTACCTACTGCGCTAACGAGGCCTCATACATGTGCTTTTCCTTAAGATTAAATCATCATAAATAACCATTGTCTCCATTTAAGAAAAGTGTTGCATGTCTGCATTTAACATGGTACCCCTGACAGAAACATAGAAAAGTACGTCACTGCCCCGTGTGAGGATCGAACTCACGACCTTCAGATTATGAGACTGACGCGCTACCTACTGCGCTAACGAGGCTGATGCACGCCCCTTCCGTTACGATGACATCACCGTAAATAACTACCATTGTCTCCTTTTAAGAACGGGGTCGCATGCTTGCATTTAACACGGCATGTGACATGTGAACTTCACAGGAACATAGAAAATACGATTACGTCACCATAAATGACCACTGCTCTACTGAGCTGATGCATAACTGTTCTCTTAGTATTACATCGCCACAAATAACCACCATTTGTATTTATTATGTTACTGACGTGCGAGCTGCAGAGAGACATGGAAAAATATTCAAGTGCCCCGTGTGAGGATCGAACTCACGACCTTCAGATTATGAGACTGACGCGCTACCTACTGCGCTAACGAGGCTACTGCTCTTTATTTTTTCCTAAGATTATTTAACCATAAATAACTACCATGGTTGTAATTTAAAATTTATACATGCTTACATTTATCATGCTGTTCTTAACATAACTGCACAGAAACATAGAAAAAAAGTACTGCCCCGGGTGAGGCTCGAGCTCACGACCTATGCGACTGACACCCTACCTACTGCGCTAACAAGGCACCAGCAAACTGCTCACCAATAGCTGATCAGGACTATTGACTTTATCATTTCCTGTAGCAGAACAGCATACTTGCCTCACACCTCCAGGACTGGGGGTTCGAATTCTGCCTGTGCAGAATTTTTTTCCTTCACGGTCCAAAGACACAGAAAAATCAAGCATCCAATAGCAACCAATCACACAACGTCAGACTGCATTGTGACAACTGTAAAGTTTGGTTGGGGAGGGATAATGGTATGGGGTTGTTTTTCAGAGATTGGGCTAGCCCCCCCCCCCGTGAAAGGAACTCTTAATGCTTCAGCACACTAAGATATTTTGGACATTTTTAAGCTCCCAATTTTGTGGGGAGTCACTTTTCTGTTCCAGCATGACTGTGCCCCAGTGCACAAAGCAAGGTCCACAGACACATGATTGGGTTAGTTTGGTATGTAAGAACTTGACTGGCCCACACAGAGCCCTGACCTCAACCCCATCTGACACCTTTGAGATGAACTAGAATGGAGATTGAGAGCCAGGCCTTCATGTCCAACATCAGTGCCTGACCTCACCAATGCTCTTCTGGATGAATGGGCAGAAACCCCCACAGACACACTGCAGAATGTTGTGGAAAGCCTCCCCAGAAGAGTGCCAGCTGTTATATCTGCAAAGGGGGGGGACTCCATACTGATGCCTATGATTTAGAATGGGGTGTCATGTGACTGTCTGCAGGTCCTCGAGTACCGGATTGGGAAGCTCTGCCTTAAGAGACAGTCTACTGTCCATCTAAGAATCTGGAAGCAGTCAGTTTAATATACTAGCTTCAACACATTAAGATGACAGTAAGGCATGATTTCAAAAATTCTTCTTTTAAGTATGACAACAAGGAAATGGGCACATCGCTCTTAATTTATTGGATTTCCCACAACCAACAATTGCCAGAATATGACTTATGTACAAGGCTGTAAAACACGGTCTCTCCTGACACACTAACATTTCTCTTACAATTATGAAACTGAGATCCTCCGGAGACACACAGAATGCTATCATACAAGGAATCAAAACGCAAATCGTTTCTATTGGCATGGAAGCAATTGTTATATAAAGCTGCGTTAAAATTCCCATCATCCTTCAGTATTTAGGCCTCTTCACTTCAACCCTGGAGGGGAAGACAAGAAACTGATATCAGTTTAAACAAGGGCATCAGTGAACTGCTGAAATGCATACTTAACTTGCCTGGCCACTAGACTACAATAAGTTGACCACTGAAAATGGTCATTTCCAGTTTTGCTATTACCTTGCTGCTTAAAACAGTGTTACTCTTGATAGTTTTATGCACAGGTTTTACCACAGCAATACAAGATGAGTGGCACCGAATCAGAAAAGCAGAAAGGCCATTCTACAGTCAAACACCACACAGAAAGTTTAACAGAAAGCATGACCAACCCATCAGCTTCCATCTTCTTCCTTTTTTCAATGATCTGAAATAAAAACACAAAGTAACTTTAGTATTTATTCACTCCTGACCATCCCATCGCCCTATTCACTGATCTGTACGCTTCCTGAGAATTACCACAGCACATACTGTCTCCTTCACAGTGCTGGTCTGATCTGTACGCTTCCTGAGAATTACCACAGCACATACTGTCTCCTTCACAGTGCTGGTCTGATCTGTACGCTTCCTGAGAATTACTACAGCACATACTGTCTCCTTCACAGTGCTGGTCTGATCTGTACGCTTCCTGAGATTTACTG